AGTCCAGCAGATCTGGCTGAGGCCTTGGCCCTTGCCTTGATTATAAGGATTGGTAAGGAAAAAGAACAGGATCCTGAAAGCACAGGCTGTGGGCCTGTGATCAGACTAAGATGTGACTGAGAACTTTGAACCCCCAAGACCCTCCTGAGCTCCCCCTCAGTAATAAACAGGGGATCAGTCTTTCTTAACAACCATTTCACCTCGGTCAGTTGCCTCCCAAGCTGATGTGAATTTGTCTCAAGACACATCCCCAATAGCTTCCATTTTGGATAGAGAAGTAGAAAGTCCACTTCAAAACAAACTATCTTGTCAATTGAAAATGTGAAATAGAACTCCACCACTCTGTTTAGGGAGCATGTAAGGGATATAAATCTACTGATATCACACCAGGGAGGATAAAATATAAGGCTTGAACAGGCCAAATTCTTCAGCCAGTGCACTCACCTGAAATTTGAGATTTCGTGTGTTGGCTTGAGCTTGGAAGAGGTGTTAATTCTATGCACAACTGGTTAATCCTTGGCATATAGAAAAATGAGTCCTAAGGCTCAGAGTGATGGTGCATGACATACCCATGCCTACTGAAGCATAACAAGAACAGGGTGTGGAGGAGGGCATCAGTGTCCTTCAAAACCCCTGGGATAGCTGTTCTCTGAAAACTGTTGATGATAGTAGGGGTCACAATAATAGAATTGAGTCTTCTTTTCCCAGGGGGAATAATGGGATCCCAAGACAGGAGAAACCAGTGTAGTGCTTCATTGTTACAGTCAAAGGTAGGCACAGTTTACGGTAAGCTTCAGAGACCTATACTAAAAAGCAAATTGATCATACATCAAATTACATGGTAATTAATTATATGAGCAGCTTCCCACATAAAAGTGGAAAAAATCCTTAACTCAAGGATCATTAAGAAGGATTAACAACCTCAACCACTTCCCAGACCTGAGCGTGTTCCTTGAAGGGAGACTACGTCTCTTTAACAAAGAACATTGCAATACAGGCAAGAATGTATTTAGGGCTCTCCTCTCACACTTACCTCAGAGGAATGCAGGGGAACAGCACAAGCCATTTGTTGCCATTTATCAGGGGATTTGTGCATTGGTGAAAAGAAATAACTTATATCTCCATCTTTAGGTGTTAATTTTCTGCAATTGTCAGTCAAAATGCCCTCTGATTCACCTATGGAAGAGGTAGAGGCCTATGGAGGTCCAGTGGTGGACGCATTCTTGAGCTAAGTCCATACAGTAGTTGAACCTGTGGTATAGTGGCTATTTTCCCAGCTCTAAAATGAGTCCTGTGATGGATGTGTCAAATAACTATCAGAATCTCCAAGTTTGTTCCTTATTATGTTTTAAAGTTTTCCCATTCCACACCAAGATAGCAAAATGAAAGAAATACAACATCCTGATAGAATTGGCAGAGATTAGCACCAATTTATCATTTAAAATTACCCTGCAAAGTGAGAGACAAATTGTTACATTAATCACATTCATACAAATTACAAAACACAATTCTTGGCCTTCTTTTGATGTTATAGGCAACATATAATAGATTGGAGGAGCTGCTATAACCCTCATGAGGCTGCGTTGTTTGAGGAGGACAAAAGAAAGCAAAAGCCCCTCCATAAGGCCATGTTGTGCAAGCTTCCCTGCAACATGGGCCTTCGGCAATGCCACAGCACATGGAGGGGAGGTATTGGCAAACCTCAATGGGAGAATCACAGTGTAGACACTAAAGATTTGGATAAAGTCCATGCCTTGCTTTTCTGACTACTCATCTCCACCAAAGGCAACTTCTGGCTGCCACTGGGCCCTAGTAAAGATTGAGGACCTGATGGTGGGAAGCAGTGTGACCAGGAACGTTGAGCTGTGCATCATAAACAAAGTGTCATCTGACCAACTGATCCACAAAGTTGGTCTTCCGTTATGTGGCAGTTAAGAAACTGGGCCCAAGCGTGTCTGGAAGGCACACATAAATTGCAGAAGAAAGTTGCTCAGATTCCTATAGTAGCTATGTCTGCTGCTTTGCCACCACTTCCTCCACTCATGCCTGCATGTGGCCTTGGGAATATATCTGGGGTGAGGTATCTATCAAAGGTAATACACAGCTATTAATGCAAGTTCAGAATCCTCATATGTGACAGGGAGCAAAGAGATTTTCATCTTGATTTTCATGGTGAATTCAGACTATAAAAGCATTTCCTCATAGTCCTGGTGACACTGAAGGGTTCATGCATGAGGTATCAGAACAACTTCTACAAGGATAACATCTGTGTGGTTCAACATTTATAGTGAAGATACAGTTTGTCTCTTCAATATTGTCTTTTCCTATCATGGTGAAACAGAGTTTAATAAGCTTTGGATTATCCACCTATTAATTCTGGAGACAGTATCAGGACAGAGTATGGACAAACTTGCATTGTCTCCTGATGACAGGAGAGCTGATAGAACTTTCAATGTCTCCTTCATTGCAGATGTGAACTTCTCATCTGCTAAAGAGCAAAAATGGTGAATGGAGTAGTGTACCTTCCATCTGCTCCCCCAAACATACTTTCCATGCTACTTGTCCTACTCTGTCCACAGGAGCTGACCTATGTAAACAACATCAACAGTTCCTCTTCTCCTCTGGCTTTTGCTGGCTTTAGCCAATGGGAAGGACATTGAAAATTATAGAGAAGAATGGGAGTGAAATCAAGGTAATTCCCACAGCCTGCAAGTGACTCTTGTTGGCTGTAACCATCTACAGAAGATCACAGCTTCTGTTAGGGATCCCTTGCCATCCAGCTCCCTGCATTTCTGGGTTCTGCTATTTCCTTCCCTCACCTTCCAACTAGTCTGAAGGAACGTACCATACTGGTTAAATTCCCTCTGAGTTACCCAATTTGAGCACCCATGTGTTTCCAGCCAGGACTCTGACTGCTGTACTAGGGAAATACAAGAAATGAACCAGGAAGCATTGAGTGCCCATTTGATGCTTGTGATCTCTATTTTAGGTAAAACCAGTCATCTTAACTGATTAATTACCTCAGCACTATTAGACACAGGGCCAGAAAAGGCAGAGTAGTGGCAGTTTATTTAAGAGCAGTTTTTAATTTAAGAGCAGAAGTAGAAAACTGAGCTAGGAGGGAACTGATGTGGGAAGTTAGAAAGGGGGAGAGGCTGATGCACTGAAAGCATCAATGGGGGGATATGTTTGGGTGATGATCTGGAGCAGGTGACAAGAAGTGTCAGGGAGAGATGGAGATAAATAATTCAAGAGGCAGTTACCAGGGACCAAGTTCAGATGTAATGAAGCTTGAATGCCCAGTAAAGAATTCTGAGAAGGTGAGGGAGTAAGGTGAAGAGGAAGAAATGAGTCAGGAGACAAAGGTATTTAAGAATGAGAAGGAGTGACTGAGGACTGAGGGTGGCATCAATGAGGAGAGGTGGGAGGTGGAGAGATGGATGCTGTGGCATCATGGGGGAGTAGATGCTGAAGGAGCAGAGAAGAGCCAGGAGTTAGAAGCAGCAGCTGGGCTCAAGGAAGTCACCACCACCACCACCAGGCATGGAAATATGCAGGAGAAGAGAAGACAGTGACTTTTGGTGAAAGAATTTGGGGCCATCTAGGTGTCAGTAAGGCAATGTGGAAAAGGACCAAGAGCTAGAAGAGCTGTCAGGTCTCTTTCCCTGGAAAGTCAGGAGTGGAAGCTCCTCTGGAGCATTTAGGCAGGTGCCACACAGCATTTTCTGTGACAAAGATCAGATTTTAAAACAAACTGGGGCTTCATGTCACCTTTGCTGTCAAAGAATTCAAAGATGGCTTATGAATCCACAGGGCATATTCTGAGAAACTCTCTCATGGAGGACACAGGTTGCCATTTAAAAATTGTAGATTCCAAACTGTAGAAAGGGTACATTCATTCTGAGGATGCCAGGGACAGAAATGCAACTATAAAGGTCTCCTGCTTTCCAGTACTTAGTGCCCTGGGGATCTTAAGCCTTTTGAAATCAGACACTTCATACAACTACCACTTCTGAGAATCCCCAGCAAACATCTTCATCTCAAGCAATCAGATGCAGTAGACAAAAACTGAAGGAGAGATCAGTTGTCTGGGGTTTAGCCATGGTATTGCCTAAGCAGAGCATATGAGACCTCAGCTGAAGCATGCTGCCCTCTCTTGCTCTTTGTTATCACTAGCCTTGTCTCACATGTAACACTCCACACACACACACACACACACACACACACACACACACACAAAAGCATTCCAGCATTTAATAAACATTGACTGAACCACTGGTGTCCTGTGGAGTGTGCACAGCTGGGTGTATTAACCACAGTTTTGTTATAATCAATGGAAATATCTTGAACCACCTTCAAAACTCAAGTTTATTATTCTAGGCTGTTAAATTGTAAAATATTATTTTAAAAGCACTTATGACCATCTTACAAGTCAAATTTCTACACTTGTAATTGATGACTTAAAAACTCCAGAGAAAAGCATAAATGGATAAAATATAATTTTATATTATGTAAACTGCTAAAAAGCTAGGAGACTAATTAATTCTAAACCTTTTGTCAAGTTACAGTTTATTTTTTTAATACATAAAATGTTTCCTTACAAACTGTTTTCCTTTTCCCAGAAAGAGTACAGAGATGCAGACTATTTTAACATGGAAAATGATTACATAAAAAAACTCTTGATGACCTCAGGAAACTGAAAGTTAAACAGTACAAGCCACTTGGGGTCGAATATTGCATTTGTGTCTTTTCTTACAGAGCATAGCAAGACTTGTTTTGAAATATACATATTTTCTTGTAGTGGAATCTTTAGTAAGTTATCTTGTATTTCCCATGATTTTCTAGCATTCACCTGAATGAGTGTGGATCCCAAAGGTTTCCACTCCAGAGCACCCCCATGATGAGCACCTTTTCTTCTCCCAAGAGTGGTCTTGGGGCAGTTTTCTACTGATGTTGGTGATGGATCAAGTTTCCCTTAGTCTTCAAACGATGTATATCTGTTAATTCCATCCCATCACGACATGAGCAACAAGGAGGTAACACATCCCAACTGTGCAGGAGACAACCATCATTGGGAAGCCCAACCTGAAACATGAAGAGAAGTGGATTGTGGTGTCTGGTGTCTGGCAAGTAATGTGAGTTCTAAATTAATTATTACATATGTCATTACATCATTATATTTGTCATGACTTAGGAGGTTTGTGTATCCACAAAGTCAATTGCTTCTTATTTCTAGAAATTGAAAAGTTGGTTTTAACCTAGATGATATGGATGCATGCTTACATTAGATATCTCCCAATGTATGACATTTTATTGAGAAATGCTTACAATTTTTACAAATTTTAATTGACATTTTATAGCCTCAATTTAATCATCTACAACATTAGAGTGTTGGTCTTGATAATGACACTTAACAACTGTCAGTGTCATATAACTGGACCATTTTTTAAGTCTCTGCATCATCTTCCAATTGTCCTTCTGAGAAAACTGATTTCCTAGAAATGTCATATTCCTATAGACCCCTGAAATTCCTAACACTTAATAGTGAAGAGAGCTTTAGAGGTAGGATTAGAAAATAATCTCTTGTCTCTAGGAAGGGAAGAGGAAAGAATGGAATTTCTTCTGTATTCAGTGAAGTGCAGGAGGTATAGGTATGCACAAATACAAAAGAAGTCATGAGAAGATGAAAGTCTCCCTCATTATATTCTTCCTATGATGTACTTGTGTTCCCACAAATTCCTATCCCAGCTAACAAATCACAATTGATCCCCATTTCACATTTGGAATTCATGCTTTGAAGCCATTACTTCGTGCTGCATTGCCATTGAGGGAAGTGACTGTAAAGACTAAAATTTTTGTCCCAAAAGGCTTAAAAATTCACTGGGAAGAGCCTAGTGTGTTATAATGATAATGATTATAACATTCTTCCTTCCCCTGGCTGTGGGCATGGGGAGTGGCTACTCAGAAAGAGTCACAGTAAGGCTCTTTGTATGAAGCTGTAATTTAAACACAGAAACTACAACCACAAGTGAAATAGCTCCTTAAATTCTAGACCAGAATTAGACATTTCAGTAAGGTGGTAGGTTCTATTCTAGGCACACTTCTTTTACAAAATGGAAAACTGAAACAACAGATTTCAGTAAAATAATCTAAATTTGAGATTAGTAAACTTTGTTTTTTTTTTAATAGCTGAATATGTTAGCAATAGGTCAGTCCTAATAATTGAATTCTGGAAAAATGCACCCAGGAATAGTGTCTGTTCAACTCCAGGTGTCACAGACATCATCACAAGCGTTCACACAAATGCAAAACCTTTCCTTACACTGTGACAGATTGTATGGAATTGAGTCAGTGTCAAGTAAGATGCTGAATACTTCAACCTGGGTGATAGGACACCTGACTGTGTTTCAGAAGCAAGTATGCTTTCCCAAAGGATGGAGTCCACAAAAAGAAGACCTTACTCTTGGGGAGTCCAAGCCCAAAGGAATTTCCTTGTAGATGGTTCTGCTGTGCTCCCAACATCGTAGATGGTTACTGGTGTCTCAGAGATGGCAACAATCCTGAGAAGGAGTATCATCTAGGGACTGATGCAAGCATTCAGACACCATCAAAAAAAAATTGTTCATGTAGTGTCTAGACACTGTGGAAATCCTCATAAAGTTGACCTCATCAACTGCTCATATCACCTTTTGAGATTGATATCATCACATCCACTGTGCTGATGGGATTCGGAAAAGGAAGCAGACTTATCCAGGTTACTTGGCTAATCTCCTTTGGTGTGGACAGATATTCAAACCCCCTCAGTCTAACTCTAGAGTGCATGCTTTCAATCACTATACATTCTGCTTCCCTGTGGGTACAGGTAAACCATACAATGACAAAATACAACTCAGAAATAAGTGACTTATTCACATCTACTATATGCTAAGGGCCTGATGTTGAGAATGCAGATGTTGAAATTTCCCAAACACAATAAGGCAGGTCATACATATTATCCCTATTTCATAGAAGAAACTGAAGCTTAAATATATTAAGGAATTTGACAAAGTATGCCACCACTAAGATGCAGATGATGTTTTGGCATATTTTTCTGGCTTCAAAATCCACATGCATTCCCACCACAACACATTAGTTAAGGGTTCTGTTCTTATCCAGCTGCATGATCCTGGGAAAGTATTAAACATCTCCATGACTGAATTTCTTCATCTTTAAAATGGAAGTAATAATAATACCTACTTACTAAGGTTGTTATGAGGATTATGCGTTCACCCCTATAAATCTCTTAGACAAGCATCTGGTCACATAATGAGCCAAAGAGCAAAGACTGACAAGAGACCCCTTAGTGTTCATTTAACATGACAGTGAATCTCAGACAAGATGTCCAGGACTACAAGGGAGACCTTTTAATATTCACTGAGCCTCGGGAGAATGGATTAACCTAAGCCTATCCTAATACCACCTACAGTCCCCTAACACCACAACATACAAACTCCAGCCTAACCAGTGGTAAGAGAGAGACAGAAACAAAAGCAGAAACAGACAGAGATAGAGACAGAAAGAGAGGGGTAAAAAGGGAAAGGGGGAAGTGAGGGAGGTAAAGAGAGGAGGCAGGGAGGGAGAGACAAAAAAAAGAGAAGGGAATTATATCAGATATCAGTTCTAATATTTTAGATTCAAGCTTCATCATCTGCTAGTTGGATTATAACATGCCAACAAAAAATAATACAAAGATATTTGCATGTACCATAAGATCCTTGAACCCATCAATCTGTATACAGTAAGGATTCTATGAATGAAAAATGTGCTTTTACAGTCCAAAGAGAATTGACCTAGGTAAATCAGTATTTTTTATAGATCAAGAAACAAGAAACTACAGCCCCCAGGCCAATACTGGCCCACTGACTGTTCTTGTAAATAAAGTTTTATTGTAACACATTCTCTCCCATTCATTTACTTATCATAAAATGGATGTTCTACCATCTAGGATAGCTGAGGCTGCCACATCAAAGTACTGTTGAGTAGTTGCAACAGAGACCATGTGGCCCATGAAGCCTGAAAGATTTATATCTGACCCTTACAAAAAAAAAAAATGTTTGACACTCCTTATCATAGAAAAAGACCTTAAGTCCTGGGAAGGCGAAGAAACTTGTCATCTTCTTGTCAGCTCACTCAAAATGCAAGGTAATCCCAGACCACAAGCCAATAGAAATATACTGTGAGCCACTATGTAATTTCAAATTTCTAGTACCACGTATTTTTAAAAAAGTAAAAAAAAAAAGTGAAATTAAATTTAATAATATATTATTGAAGCCAACATACCCAAAATATTATTTTAACATATAATCAACATAAAATTGAATAGTTTACATTAATTTTTATACTAAACCTTTGAAATCCAGTGTGGGTTTTCCATTCACAGAACACCTTAATTTGACTTGCCACATTTCAAGGCTTAATTGTGCCAAACTGACTAGGGGTTGTGTGGTCCAATGCAGCTCTAGGTGGCTCACAATATCTGGATGAAAACATTTGAAAAGGCAGGTTTATGACCTTTAGTAGATGCAGGGGATTCTGGCTCTACATGGAGCTTTCACATAGGATATGCAAGAGTGAAGCATTTGCAGGAAAAAAAGAGGTTGAGACAGACTGGCAGGGGCTCTGCAACCATCTGTGTACATCTCCACCAGGCTAGCAAGCTCATCAGGGTGGCGTTTTCTTGTACATTTTGGAAGTCACACATACAGACAAAGAATTCTCTAATGCTAGAGTCAAGACAAATGATGAAGCTATTCATTGGCATTTGATGGCACTGACAGCAGTAGCTACACACCTGAGTATCTGATGGGTAAAGACAAGGATGGGGCAGCTCTGTTGAAACTGCTAAAGTTGGCATCTTCCTTCTTGGGGTGAGTCCCTGCTGCTTTTTCCGGTGGGAGTACCGTTAGTTTGGTTGGTGTTTTAATGCTTCACTCCCTGTCCAGGCAAGAGTCCACTGAAAGGAGATTTATTTGAAGTGAGGGCACTAATGACTTCCTGTCACTGCCAGCCATTCTCTGAGTATACACATTTATGCTCCACATTTACCAAGAGCAGTTCCACTTCCCAGAAGATACATCTGTCTTCCTCCCCAAGCCTCACAGAAAAGCAGTACCTTCACCAAAAGGCTTAGGAAAAGCATATTTGTTCAAAACATAGTATCACATTATGTTTTCATTTCCCTCTGAGATTATTTTCAATCCATTCTGGCTCCAAACATCACATTCTGTTACAGAAGACAAAAACACTTGAATGTCAAAGCACAAATCCAGGGGTTTCGGGAGAAGATGGCGGCGTAGGAGGACGCTGGGCTCACCGCGTGTCCTGCTGATCACTTAGATTCCACCTACACCTGCCTAAATAGCCCAGAAAACCACCAGAAGACTAGCAGAATGGAGTTTCCAGAGCCAAGCGCAGACGAGAGGCCCACGGAAGAGGGTAAGAAGGGCGGAGAGGCTGTGCGCGCTGCACGGACTGGCGGGAGGGAGCCAGGGTGGAGGGGCAGCCTGCCGGCCAAGCAGAGCCCCCGAGTCTGGCTTGCAAGAGTGGAGGGGCCAGATGGAGTGTGTTCCAACAGCAAGCATGACTTAGCATCTGGGAGGTCATAAGTTAACAGCTCTGCTCAGAAAGCGGGAAGGCTGGAGGACAAACAGAGGGAGAGTTGCTGAGCCCCGGGACGACAGAGCTCAGTTAGGCAGGGAACAAAGGTGCTAGCCAGTCCCATCTCCTTCACCCATCCCCCAGCCAAAATCCCAAAGGGAACCAGTTCCCGCCAGGGACTTGCTTGCTCCTCACAAACACCCAACGCTATGCTTCTGCGGAACCACCCCTCCGGGAGTGGGTCTGACTCACTTCCACTGCAACAGGGCCCCTCCTGAAGTGTATCACCTAAGGAGAAGTGACTAAGCCTGCCCCTCCTGCCCCTGTGCACCTTGCCTACCCACCCCAGCTAATATGCCAGATCCCCAGCACCACAAGCCTGGCAGTGTGCAAGTAGCCCAGACAGGCCATGCC